ATGTAAGATCGTCAGTGCTTTTCCGGAAATACTATGCTGCTCCCGTTTGGGCAAAAGTCTTTTTCCGAAAGACTTTTGCACAAAAGGGCCAGTGTAAACAGCACAGTAGTGTTTTCCGCAAAAAAGCCCCAATCACGAAAATGGCGATCGGGGCTTTTTTGCGGAAAACCGTGTCTAGATTGGCCACGGACACTTTTCCGCAAAAAGTGCTATTGCGGAAAAGCATCCTGCCAAACTAGACGTGCTTTTCCGAAAATGCTTTTAACGGAAAACTTTTCCATTAAAAGCATTTTCGGAAAATCATGCCAGTGTAGACGTAGCCAGGAAGTTTTATTGCCTATGCCAAATAGAGGTCAGATTACATGATCACATGATTCTGGCCTTGGAATCTATGACATTATAAAAAACGTTTAGTTATTATATATATAAAAGACTCAAAGAGCGGTAAGATTCAATGGATTTAATCATTTTAGAATAATTTTTGAGAGGATAAATATTATAAAGTAGACTTTTTCACCAAGTGAAAATTAAGATGCTGGGTCATGATATGTATAATGATTTATTAAAGCTAACGTAACAAAGAACTAGTAGTTGAGATGATAGAGAATAAATTAAGGATTAAATATCGTAGAAAGACAAACAGTTCATGTAGCAGCTTTCAGACGTCATGGGTACTCTGGGACTTGAACTTCCTACAGAAATTATTTACCGGAAGAGTTATAGAAGGAAGGAACCTCTTTATTTAGTCTACTACAGCTTGGACCTCGTTGGTCTGGCACACTCAGGAACTAACTGGTCCCAGAGGAGGAATTTTGCCAGACCAGGGAAGGTTATTTCTGGGCCCACTTCTGTTACCGGCCCTCCCAGCCATGGCCTCACTGCTAGTCTTCCAGACAGCTTCCCCCTGCCACTGGCCCCTCTGCACGGAGGGCTCCTGGCCTCACCATGGCAGCCCTGCACAATCCCACTGCTAGGCATCATCCCTGCAGGGCAGTCCCCCTGCTCGGGGTCAGTTCCAATGCCGGGCGACAAGCCCCACTTGGACATCAGCCTCGCTGGGCAGCATCGCTGTCTCCAACAGGCAGCTCCACAGAGCAGCTGCTGACTTTTTGCTGCACTACTGGGTGACCCCACTCCCAGGTTCATGGCCCTGCTACCATGTAGTCATGCGGTCAGGCTCCCGGCCCTATGGGGCAGTCACGCTGCTTCCAAATCCCACCAGGCAGCTGAGCGGCTTGGCAGTAGTAGCTGGGCATCCCTGCTGCCTCCCACCCCCCACCTCCACCCTCCCACAGTATCGGCACCAGGCAGCAGCCCTACTGCTGGGCTCCCGGTTTTGTTGCCACAGGGTAGCCCTGCTATTGGGCTCTAGCCCCACTGCAGGGCTCCCAGCTACCAGCCCTCCACTGGGACTCTTATTTTATCCTCCAGATGGATAAAATAAGAATTGGTATCTGTAATAGATGGGGAAATTCTCTAAGCTTCTACTTAAAATATAAATATCTATATCAGCTGGCCTACTGTCATTAATTAAGGTCTACTTCCAGCCCCTCTTCTGTGTTACTGCTGTCTATGAAGTATCAGCTGATCAGCCTCTGTGGTCTGCAGTCTTTGAGGCACAGCAAACTTTCTCCCATTTACTACCCTTTTCATGTAGCAGGTTCTCTTTTAAGCATCTCAACCCCAACAGAGTAAGCCTTATAGATGTGCCTTGTTACAGCTGAATGAGCCCAGAAGAGCTTGTTAGTCTCCTCTCCATTATCTATGGAACTGCTCTCAGGGAAACTTTTAGAAAGTATTGTGGCTTTCTTCTCTTATTGGTCTACAATTGGCAAGGAAGTACTAGTTCTGAGTCAAAGCAGATGTACTTCTGATGTTTAGATCTATTCCTCTTGTTTGCAGTGGGGCCCTGTCTTCATAGTACACTGGGCATTAATCAGGAAGCATTTCAGTGGGGAAGATTAGACCATTGTCAGCTTAATGGCTCAGAGAAGCCACCTTTGGTGCTTATGCTGCATATCACTAGGAAAATTGCCAAAGTCAGCTCTAGTGAGCACAAGTTGTCTTTAAGCCTCAATGTTCCATTTAT